GGCTTTTAAGAAGAGACAGGACAGTCATTTGTCTGAAATGTAGAGGGTCTCCTGCTTGAGCCGGGGGCTGGACTAGAAGACCTCCAAGGTCCCTTCCAACCTTGTTATTCTGTAATTCTACTGCTTTTGGCAGGTTGGGGCAGGTGCTGATGCTGACCAATCCATTTAATCCCTCCATCATGTCTTTTTCTCAGTCTCCAAGGGATGCCCCTGCAATAAATTTGCAGTAGGAGACAACCTGCCATTGTTGTAGTCCAGGCACCAGGTAGGGCAGACAGACAGAAGACGATCGCAGTGCATCTTTAAAAACCAACTGGAACTCAGAAGACACTGAAAACTGCTTAATTGAACAAGGGACACAATCTGTGAGCAACCTAGAACAAGTTAAGTCCCAAAAGGCCAGAGGATTTCTGGAAGGCTTTGCTGGCTGGGGAATTCTGGGAGTTGAAGTCCACAAGTCTTAAAGTTGCCAAGGTTTGACCCTAATGTGCCAGGAGCTGCACCACTGTGCAAAAAACGTAAACGTAAACGCTGCCTGTTTGGCACACAAAGTGAACTTCGCTCAGGTGTCGGAGCCAAATTTGCCATCTGGCCTACGGACACCCTGACCCACATTCTTCCCCTTTGCCTCTCCTCTCCGTCCACCCCCTTTCCCCCCCATCCTGCGCATGATGGACGAGCGAGCCGCAGGATCAGTTCTGCAGCCCACCTCATGCAAGTCAGTGGAAAGAATGTGTGAATGTACATAACAAGGTTAGAAATATTGTACGGGGAAATCATACGCCAATTAACCCAGCTCTCCACAAAGTTACGGATTGGCAGCCTCCGAAATCCTTTAAACTCTCTCAAACATGAGAATGAAACACGGATGTCAAACTTTAAACGCACACAAGCAAACATACGAAACTCAGTTAACACAATGTAAAGATCATTCTAATGCTTGCAATTCAAAGAGAGGGACTCCATCCACTTCTCTTGACTTAATTAAGCCCTTCTCTGGCTCTAGCAATAGCAATAGCAATAGCAGTTAGACTTATATACCGCTTCATAGGGCTTTCAGCCCTCTCTAAGCGGCTTACAGAGTCAGCATTTTGCCCCCAACAACAATCCGGGTCCTCATTTCACCCACCTCGGAAGGATGGAAGGCTGAGTCAACCTTGAGCTGGTGAGATTTGAACCACTGAACTGCAGATAACAGTCAGCTGAAGTGGCCTGCAGTACTGCACCCTAACCACTGCGCCACCTCGGCTCAAGGGCTGGGCTTCTGATCTGTTCCTTCTATAGTCCACTAGATCACAATATGTGATCCTGAACTAAGGGGCTTTGTGGAATAAAAAAAATGCAGGCAGTCCTCACTTTACAACTTGCGATTTGTTTAGCGAGCGTTCGAAGTTATGGGAAAAAAAGGTGATTTACACCCAGGTAAAGTGATAACTGGTTTTTTTCACGATGCTTTATCCTAGATGATGATCACTGGGTGGTGGCCACGGATTATGATACGTATGCTCTGCACTACTCGTGCCGTAACGTTACCGAAGATGGGACTTGCGGTGACAGCTACTCGTTCTTGTTTTCCCGGACCCCAGATGGCCTAACGCCAGAAGCGCAAAAAATTGTCAGGCAAAAGCAGGTGGAAATCTGCCTAGACAAACAGTACAGGCGCATTGTACACGATGGTAAGGAATATTTTATTAGGACTTTACAGGAAATCTGGCCCAGGGTGGGATAGATTGGGAACAAGAAAGCTGCTGGTTCCAGGGCAGTTAGAATTCTTAGTGGCGC